CGCTGATCTATTGTTGGCTTTTTGGATAAGCATTGTTTTGTGCACGGAGTGGTTTGAAGGGAAAATGGAATAAAATGCTCTTGTTTGAGCTTGGTATGTGGCTTATCGGTGAAGAGCTGAGAGAAATGAAGTGATATGCATGAGAAGTTTATCATATGTAATTGTGCGGCTGGAGTCGAACGAAAAAAAAAATATGGTTTTCATGTCGCTTTGTGGGGGTGGGGTTATACAACAAACGGAATGAGGTGAAGATTTGTCGGTGCTGTGTGGGGGGAGCCGATCTGATTGATCGATGGTGTCATGTGTGCTGGAAAAGGTGTGCATGCCGAGAGGAAAAAAGGTTTGCTCTGCCAAGTTGCTGTGCAGCTGTGAATTTGGTTGAAGGAAAATGTGCATGGAAGCTTCTGGAATACGCTCCCGGACAGTATGTGATCGGAATTTTCGTTTGCACGTTTGATCGGTTTGTAAGGTCTGATGTGTGTGATGTCGTGATCGCCGCCATCGATCATGCAGGTTTGACACTCGGTCGATTAGATTTCGATGCGTTGTAGGTATGTGCTATTTTATTTTTTTTTATATTAGTACGTTCAGACTACAGAGTTATAACATGTTATGATATTGCTTTCAAACGTGCATGAAACTGTTGGAAAAATGTGAAATACAAAAGCATTATATTCTGTAGAATCTTCTTCTTCTTCGCATTTCAAGCTTATTGCTTATGGCATATTAGCTTATTGCGTGCCCACAACTTAGTGTTCTAGATGCACTTCCACAGTTATTAATTGAGAGCTTTCGATGCCTGCTACCATTTCTGCATTAGTATAATTGTGTGGCAAGTACAATCATACTCTATGCCCAGGGAGTCGAGAAATTTTCCAACCCGAAAAATTCCTAGACCGGACCGGGAATCGAACCCAGTCACCTCCAGCATGGTCTTGCTTTGTAGCTGCGCCTTTACCGACTGAGCTAAGGGAGGCCCCTGAGCTGTAGAATATGACTTTTGTTCAACCCAGGTTCATACACATGTTTGAGTCTTACTTGGAAAGGATTTTAAGATCTATCCCAGGTAACTATTGTAGAATATCGTATCAGATAGAAATCGGGCGTAAAGGTACGGAAAAAGTTTTAAGTAGGGGAAATGGATGTAAATGGCACGGTGCACTATGGGCAAAAATGGGTCCAAAATTACCCAAAATTCAATATCTCAATAGCACGCTGAATTCCGGCCATAAAAAACCACTTTTCAGAATAAGTGTACCCCGTATTCCCCTAATATCTCATGAACTGTTGTTTAAAGACATAGTATTCTAAAACCATGCATAAAGTGTTTATGTTTTACGAAAAATAGAGTTGTGAAAAAAAATTTCCTCCAAAAAGTAGGTGAAAATGGGGTAAAATGATCCAAAACACATATCTACAAGGCTTTCCGGTCTATTGGACCACGTGCAATCGATTCCCTGGACGATTTCCCTTCGGAAAAGTAGTTTTTCATGGGCGGAATTCAGCGTGCTGTTGAGATATTGAATTTTGGGTAATTTTGAACCCATTTTTGCCCATAGTGCGGTGGCTTTAGAGCAGCCGTTTTTACTTACTGAGCAGAAGATCATCAGCCTGAAATGGTCGATCCCGGGCCTGTATTGTAAAAAAAAACATTACTGATATAATTCGGGCTGAACGGTACGGACAAAAATTTGTTTAGATAATAACGGGTGTTCAATAAAAAATAAGAATGATTTCAGTGCCGTCCAGCGCTCTTGTGAGAGCATCGCGACTAAGTTGCGTCATACGGCTCACCACCCAACAAACAATTTTAGCTGCAGATTAGCTTATACAGCGAAAAATTGGCTGTATAAGCCAATTTTTGGCTGTATAAGCTAAACTGCAGCTAAAATTGTTAGTTGGGCAGGGCCTCTTCTGCAATATTCATTGACGTTTTTTGAAGAATAATCATTATGTTTTTAATAAAAAATACTGAATCCGTTGAATTTTTTTTTACCATCTATATGACTGAAAAAATTCTCATTTTTTATTGAACACCCGTTATATAACGTACGTTCAATATTTGTCAATATTTTTTTTTTGTTTTAATATGACAACATGGAAATAACAGCAACTCGATGATAAAAACGGAGCTCGTTTGCCTAGTGTCAAACGTTTTTTTTCTTACTGAGCAGAAGACCGTGGGTTCAATCCCACAATGATCGTTATGACTACAATTCAGCTTACCGTTTCCCAAAACGAACCCTGCTGCAAACCCAACTCTCTTACCCAACATCCCAGTGATTCCTCGTGAAAGTGCAGAGGTGTTATCGGTTTCTATCAAAGCGAGTGTCACGTCAACACATTCCTACCGACTCCTTTCTTGATCTGTGTTCGGGCACGGCCGACGCTGATATTACCTAGTTTGAGATCACCAGTTTTTACACATTGAGGATGATTATTAGTCCCAAGCATCGTCTATTGGTTCTCTGTGTAATTACAGCTGATCTGGCAATAACAGAGTAGCAACCGTGGGCGGTCAATCATGCTCATGCTCAAAATTCAATCACCTTCTTTAAGCGCTGGAATAGGCTTTGGAGGTTTTTTCAAAAATTTTGTGAGCTTCCAAAAGGGTTTGGAATTTGGGTCTAATTTCGAAACATTATTTTCAGAATCTTTGTTCCTCAGGGCAGAAAATCGCTTTTTAATTTATTTTCTTCAAATCCTACCAGATAACTTTCATTGCAAAATCGTGTGATCTTTGATATTGCCTCCTACGGACATTTTTCTGATTGATCAAGAGCTTAAGATCGTCGTCTATTATAATTGAATCGAATTTAACCTTGCATTTTGGTACTGAGGCAGCACTGGCTTCAACTATAGTTGAGTTGGAATTAGGGCGTATTTTTTTGTAAGCAATGACTTCTTTCGATGATTTCTAGAAAGTTAAGGCTCGCCAACGCAAATCAACAACACCATCGAGCAGGAGAAGTCTCCCCCCCCCTACGCGACGGTTTTGATTGTTTGCGTGGGCGTACCTTGAGTTCCTAGAAATCATCGATAGAAGTCAGTGTTTACAAAAGCTGTTACTCCCTAATTCTAGATCTATCTAGAATTAACATTATACTTGGTTGGCAAAGGAATTTTGGATCAAAGTTATATTGCATAAACGTTCTAAGGTAGAACGCTACTTCATCGTAGTCACCCATTTCTGTTCTATCGAGCATAAATGATTGATAATATCCATGATTTCACCGTACACCAATCAATAATACATTTGTTTCGATGCGTTGTATGAAGATTTAAACTCATTGTTCTCAAAGCAAAAGAAAAGCTCCTATTAAATCCATCTTTTTTGTCTTCATTCGTAGAACGAAGAAACACATAGAAAAACCAATGGCGTTTCAATAACTCAATAATTTGTTACTCTTTGGAGTTGGTTGGAAATGCTAACATGAAGCTTTAGTGTAATAATTTATTAGCTAGAGAATGAACTTTAGAAGAGGGTAGGTGGATAGTTTCGTTAAAGTACGGCAGTATGAAAATTGAATAGAAGTTGAAAATGAACGAAAGGCCATTAATGCGACAGTTTTTTGAAGTCAAACGCACATATTTTGCCTAACCCGTACGATGTACGCGGAGACTTGAAAAGTGTCTTCAAGTCTACAGGCAAAAGATGATTGTTACTCTTTATCAAATTCAACATGACGTATAGAAAGGTAAATGAATTTGAAAGTCATCTATAGTAGAATCACTTCATTTTTAAGTTCATATCCGTTCGAAAAAGAGAGGTTAAATATGGGTTATGCTTAGTAGGACGAAAATTAGCACCCTAAATTGCTCCCAATCATTAATGATTGAAAGTAGAGCTGTTGGGAATAGAAATTATTTCTTGAGATATTTCAAAAGCTACTGGAAGGTGATCAGGGCCGAAGTCAGCATGGGCAACCAATTGGCTACAAAGTTGACATGAATCAGTTAAGACCAAATCAATAGTTGATGGATTTCTTGCTGAAGAAAAGCTTGTTGGGCTGTTTGGGTATTGAATGGTTTAATAACCTGCAGAACAACCATCAAACAGAATATTACCATTGCTTTGAGCATTATTTCAATAGCGGTGTTTTGCATTAAACCCACCAATAATGAAGAATTTAGACCTTTTGAGAAAAATCCTTTGCTAGCCTACGCATTGAAATGGCAAGAAGGCAGCTATAGCCGTATTTTTCCCAATTTTCGTTTCGACAGAAGCTAAGAAAGAATTTGATGTTTGATACATCTATGAAAAATTATGGCAATGCCACCACCGGCTCCATCAAGACGATCGTTTCGATAAGTGAAAAACTTTGCGTCCCTTTAAACCTTATGATCAGGTTAATAAAACGTTTTGGTTAAAATAGCGATATAAACGTTATGAACTCTCAAAAAGTTAAATAGCTCGTCTTCATTATCTTTAGAGACCAAGCATTCCAATTCAAAATATTATATGATTTAAAATTCATAACTGAATTTCAAAGTTATGACGATATTTTTCGCAAATTTTACTCCAGTTTGAACAGCATCAAAAATGATGTTGGTTTTTGGCATATCAGCAATCATGTCGAGTAATTATTTCAGTAAAAATTCAAATTTAGGAGCAGGGCCTCCCTTAGCTCAGTCGGTAAAGGCGCAGCTACAAAGCAAGACCATGCTGAAGGTGGCTGGGTTCGATTCCCGGTCCGGTCTAGGAAAATTTCTCGACTTCCCTGGGCATAGAAGTATGATTGGACTTGCCACACAATTATACCAATGCAAAAATGGTACAGGCATCGAAAGCTCTCAATTAATAACTGTGGAAGTGCATCTAGAACACTAAGTTGAGAACACGCAATAAGCTAATATGCGATATACAATAAGCTTGAAATGCGAAGAAGAAGAAGAAGAAGAAGGTATTTATTTTTATTTTGTACTTTGTATATGATCGACAGATTTTATAGACTTATGTTATATAAATACCATAAATACTTGAAATGTGAACCCATAAATTAATCGATTTGTGTACGGATTTTACATTTAGAAATAAACTGCAATGATCGATCGTTCATTTTTATGCACATATTTGTACATTGACGAATTGTGTCGTTGACTCGCATTACTTTAATAATATCTGTTAGTTCATATGAATAAATATTATGGCATAATTTTTTGGAGTGCAGTTTTTCGCCAGTAATGTAAACAATATTATTCTGATCACATAACATTTCTACAATGGTGTAGAAATTTTCGTTTATGTAAAACCATGAATCATCATATTTGTGTGCATGGCATGTTTGTTTGGTACATACATTCAAACTTTTAGAATACATTTGACCATGGGCACTAAACGATCTTTCGACTACGTCTGCATCAAACATAAGATTATCATTTAAGATATATAATCCTTTTGGATCGTAATGAACAGAGCTTTTCAGTTTTAGCGTTAGCGTTAGCGTTAGCGTTGTTATGATATACTTCGTAGATTGGATACTAGCGACACTCACGTCTCTTCTGAAATTCTCAGTTAGACTACTTTCAGGAATAATGCTGGGGAGTAAACATTGGTTCCAATCTAAACAAGAGTAACAGAAGCATAACTGTTGCTATTCCCGGCCATGCCCATCTTTACCATAACTAGGGATAGGGAAGGAAATGTTGATGTAGTACTTACTTAACGAGAGGCCACCGACTTAGTGACACCCTCATAAGTGCTACGGAGTTGGAGGGTTAGGTAGGGTATTCGGTTAGGATTCACCTCAAGTTGGCGATGCAACCAAAAGTATGTATTGTTTATTTGTTGTTTATTCAATCTTTCGATAGCCAGCTATCGAAAGAACATATTAATTTTGTTTAGTGATCATGAATTTTAAGAGTCATGACGGAGAGCTTGGGATTAAAGCCACGATTTTCTTCTTAGTAAGCAAAAACGATCCCTCCAGGGTCATCGAGCATCTCATAATCCACAGCGCTTCGCGTCAAAGTACGAATATATGGATGAACTATCTATTATTGAATAACTATTATTTACGATGATTACATGAAAGAAATAAAATATAAACTACAAACAAAACGTGACTACCAAAATATCAAAAAGATATTCTCACAAATATATTTCACGCAACCAGGAATCTCAAAACCATTAGACGCTATAATGATACTCTGCACATGTTAGCCACAAGAAGAGGCCAAAAAGCAAGCGTCCGACACACAAAACCCGCCAAATCCACTTGCAGTCACAATCAACGATTCTACGAATCGCGAGCGCTCACGAATCATAAAACCGCCGACTGCGGCACTCTGAAATCAAAATTGACAGGCTCTATGCGTCAAACACCCGCCTTCCAATCTCCTCCCGCATCCAACAACACAAATACCCATTACAACATCTAACGAATTCAAAACTCCGAAAATCACTCATCTATAGCAAGTGAGTGGAAGCAACCCTGCATGCAACCATTCTTCATGATACACTTGTTCTGCCTATCTTTCTATTAGGCCTGTGGACATGCGTTAGCTTCGAAACTTCTAACCAAACTGGGAAAATTTTCAGATCACAAAAAAAAAGCTTGACAAAAACTTTCAATGGTAAAACCCTGTAAAACCAAGTAAAATAAATATTTAGCTTGAGCTTGAGTTTGATTGACCGCCCACGGTTGCTACTCTGTTACTGCCAGATCAGCTGTAATTACACAGAGAACAAATAGACGATGCTTGGGACTAGCAAGCATCCTCAATGTGTAAAAACTGGTGATCATAAATTAGGCAATACCAGCGCCGGCCGCGCCCGAACACAGGTCAAGAAAGGAATGGGAAGGATTGTGTTGACATGACACTCGCTTTGATGGAAGCCGAGAACACCTCTGCACTTCCACGAGGAATCACTGGGATGTTGGATAAGAGGGTTGGGTTTGCAGCAGGGTTCGTTTTGGTAAACGATAAGCTGAATTGATGTCCTAACGATCATATAACGCGAAGGAGCTTGGGACTAAACCCACGGTCTTCTGCTCAGTAAGCAAAAACGTTTGCCACTAGGCAGACGAGCACCTTTTTAATCACCGAGTTGCTGTTATTACAATGTAGTCATATTAACAAATAAAACGATTGACGAATCTTGAATGTGGATGGGCCTGAGATTAGACTCATGATGTTCTGCTCAGTAAGCAAAAACGGTTGCTCTAAGGCCACCGAGCCCCTCATATCATATAATACCGTTGCTCAAATTTGTGTATCCATTCAAACCCGGAACCAACGACAACAACGAGTTTCGCAAAATACACGATACACAAGCGATTTTACCATAAATCTCTTTGATATGTAAGGACCTGGGACCGCGTTTTTCTGCTCAGTAAGCAGGCCACTGTAACCGACGATCTTTCAAATCCGAAAACTAAAAACTACGAAAAAGTACTTAGGCCTTCATTAAGTTCCACTTTCACGCGACGTTCAATGACAGGGTCCTATCCAGGATTACATGTGAAAAATCCAAATCTGGCCAACGCCCACCTAAACCTGTTCTAATCCACCTGAAATAACTAACGAATGGAAGACTTTGACCACCCAGCCATGCAATAGTCTCATTCCGTGCCTTATGGCAACTTGATGATTCTATTGCGCTCATCTTTTGGCACCACCCAGAGGAGACTTGGTCCTGTACCCAATGCTTAACTTATCTCCATTCCATTCAGCTACTCGTAATTTTTTGTGATATAGTGGGCGGAATATTATTATATGAGACAATTCAATGCAGACGTCTTTCCAAATTTGGCAGATCGACAGGTAATCGGTGAGTTACCACGATAGTTGCTATTCAATAACTCGACAACGTCCCATCGTCAACGCCTGCTATGATAATTTCCCATTGCAGACGCCAACGAAATGACGTCATCGAGCTATCGATCAACTACCCTGGTTATCGCCTGGTACCTTATAGCACGATGCTAGGAGGCGAACCGGAAGAATCGATGAGCTACCTCTCCAAGTAAAATAAATATTGATTATTTTACGCAAAAACGAGCAAGTAATATTAAATCTCTTGTATCGTATGCTAATGCTAATTGACTGTAACAAAAATAATATGCTTAAATAAAATAAAATATTTATAAAATTATATGCAAAATTTACTAGAAGATCATTAATTTATTCATGAGAAGTTTCTAATAAGCCCTCCAAGTTCCTCTGTATACAGAACAAATCTGATACTACAATCAGAATTGCTCAGTCTGCATGAAGCAGCCGATTTCATCAAGGAAGTTCTATTAACAACCAAAAATTAATCGTTTGAGGCATACTGAAGCATTCAGAAGGTGCTATGTGTCACTATAGGAAATCATCATCGTTACAAATATAAAGCAATTAAACATAACCCTTTGCTTCAGTACCATGAACAGAGCTTTTCTGTTTTGACCATAAAGATTGAATCCAATTTTTCACATCTGGATTTAAATCAAGATAGTTGCTGTGGCATAACTTGATCATATAATATTTCCTTTCGATTTGCACAAGTGGACTTTTATTGCTAGTTCGGAACCCGAGGAGCATTCCGTTTCCTAAAAAATATCTATTACAATATATATATATATATATAATTTTATTGCATAGTTAAGAAGTTACCTGACTCATATGGGAATAACGAAAAATTATATAAGGCTCCAAAATTGTTAACAGCTTCGATGATGTGTCCCGTTAAATGTACATTATACGAAATGTTATCTTTACCATATAGTTTTTCAAATTACTGCAGAAATATGTATCGTGGCTTCGTACAATTTCGGGTCTAATAAGTGGTGAATCGCTGATGAGAGCAACATGACATGGTCAAGAAATTGTTTTGGTAAAATATTAGTAACGACCGGATATAAATAATGGAAGATAACCGCTTCCCACTCATTCGCCTTGTATTTCTTATATTCCTTCAGTTGTCGCGGATATCTAGGAAAAACACTAGGAGGTCTAAAGCTCAACATTCTCTTTTCAATTTCTTTTCATCTTCTACTTATCCTAGGTATGTTATTATGTATACAATTTATTGGTCAACCTACTATCGGTAAAGCACTTGCCATATCCAACAGTTCATCATTGGCGTCCTCCTCTGAGAGCTCAGCTTCAGAATCTGTAGGTTCATATTTAGAATCATCGATGCATTTAAACTGTGGTGATTGCTTGGGTCATGTATCATTATATTTTCCGAGGCTGGATCTGAGTGCTCAGATTCAGATTCTGAATCTGTAGGCTCATCATTTAAATTAACCGTTTTATTTAAATTGCGGTGGTTGTTTTTTCCGAGGCGGGATTAACTTCAATGAATTCAGGTGCATGGTCTGAATACATAAGTTTAACAGTTATGAATCCTGATGAACTGATGGGATCCTTAACAATGTTTCGCCTGGGCTGCAAAAGCTATTAGGCAGTTTTTGATATATTTTTTCTTTCCGACATACGTACCTTTTTGACATATTTCCGTCCATAGTACTCAGGTCAGAGTAGTTTGATTTATGCTAAAATAAGATTAGACAATTGGTTCCTTTTTGTTTTAAAGTATTCTTCTTGTCTCTTGTATACGTTCGGCCGGGGTACGTTAAGTTCAAATTGAGCAATCAGGAGTTGGTTTGCATTTGACGGAAAACTGCTCAACTTGTCTTAGGATTTATGAAGAATAGCAGATGACGTATGAGAGCTATGTCACAGTACACAGGTCTGCTGTTGTTATGGATCGTGATTATGACGTCACAAGCAACGTTTATCTTTTCACACGAAACACACACAAGACATTAGACAGTCGTTCGTAGAGTTTTAAAACACGACAAATCTACCCCTCGTCCTCCTCCTCCCTGACAGCCACTTTTTGTCCAAATAAGATAAAGTATTATTAATTTACAATTGTAATACACTGACACAGATATTTAAGTGATTGAGACGGACCCAAACAAATGTGTAAGTTCGTTCCGAAATTAGTAAAATAAATGGCTCAATTGTGTTAGTCAGCTTTATATCCAGACATTGTTATGGCGTTATGAGTGGATAGAAAACGTAAACTCTAGGATGTTTTGTTCTGGAACACATCAATGTAAGATTTATTAAAAGAATGAAATGTAAGATTCTATTACAGATTTCCACAAAAAATATGTAGAATTTTCAATGATTTGCGACATGAACAGATTCTGGACGTTTCTAAAATAATTGTGTATTTTTTATGATAGCTTATTATTCAAGCAAAGCTTGTTTCCCCGAATACATTGCGTCTAGAAAATCATCTCCTGAAGGTTTTATACAAAAATATGCATTCTGTAAAAACTTATTGTATGAAACATATGCAGAGGATGTAATAAATCGAAGCTTACATTGGATGTAAGAGGAATGTTTTTGCAATCTGGCAAAAATCTAGATACACGCCAATATATGGTGCTTCCCGAAAGGCCTATATATTGGCCAATCAATAAACTTACAAATTAACAATGTTCAACTAGTAATTTTAGGTGAAAATACATAGAATACTTTGCTCAGTGATTTTCATGTTATGCTTGTTTCAACAATTCAACATGCCTTGCCCTCCGTCATTTGACTGATCGAGATCAAACTGTCTAGCATGTCAGTGTAATTCCCAAAATTGATTGTCGGTACAAGGGCACTAGAAACCTGCCGTGGTATGAAGCCCCGAAAAATCATTACTGCCATCAAAGCACAAACATCAGTGAATCTGTCTCTCAAGATTATAGGAGCTTGTCTTTCCCAGTGAACGAACGAACGAACGACATTATCCCACTCTGGAATTGACTCAGTATCACAGCGATCGTCTCAGATCAGCGATCACCCCTCAAGTCTGGAATGTACTCTCGTGCCATGATCATCGTCTGGCGACGACAACGTCATCCAATCAGGAACTGGAAGTTTGACAGCTCAGCGTCGACATCTCCGACACGGACCGCCATAAATCATTAGACACGCAAGGATTACAGAGCTACACGACGACGACGACGACGAAGGGATTATGAACCAACCTCCTATTTCACGTGTGCGCTTCTTCCCACCACACGCCGGCTGGAAAATTGCACTAATCTCGAAGCTGTTGGGAGTCATGCCGCCTTCTCGCGCGGTCAGACGAATGTTTATTTTTGTAAGTGTTCTTTCTCACTTTCTCGGGTTTGGTTCTGCGTACTTGAACATTACCGGCGGCGCGCGGGTTCTATTTTTACCTCTGCCCGAACACAATTATTCATTTAGGGAGGCTTTCCATGATGATGCACACTCGGCTCACTCAACGGAAATGGATACGTGGAATTGGTAAAATTAGCGGTGCCGATTACCGGAAAATTGCGCGCCATGACCCGCGGCGACGGCGGTGGCGACGGTTATTCAGAATAGACTCTCGGAACGCTCTGTCAGGCTGACCTAGTGATATTTTCTGCGAACCGAAAAGCACGGTTTGTTCGGATGAGTCGCTTTGGGGCACCTTGTAGGGGATTACAACTGCCCGACCATGCACCCCCCACTTCCACCCCCAGTTTGGTTGCACAAAAAGACAAATGGGCCAACGGGGCAAGTATAAAATATTGAGTGACAAGTTGTAAACAGAGTGTACGGTTATAAATATACATACAATTGATCTTGCCGCGTCTAGCAATGCAAAGCGATCCATCTATCCATCAGCAGGGCAGGCAGGCAGGCAGGCAGTCGAAGCCGTTGCAGCCGTCGGCGGCGTGGATGGATTTGATGGGTATGCGGTAGCCTTAAAGAGAGTGCACGTACCTACCACAATCGATCAAGTTGGGCGGGTGATTTGGGATTCTGCATGTTTAGCCAATATACCAACGAGAACAGTAAAGGACAAACGATTGCGCATTACATGGCCATAATTGTATACAAATTGTAGCAGGATGGCGGACTCTCTGCAGAATTTGCATTCTGATTATCTTTGAGAATTTATCGATTACCTAATATATATTTTCAAGGCTTATTTGTAGGATGTTGGAGTGTTTTTCAATAGTAAAAATATTTTTTTAAATTTATCATTTGTAATATAAAATACATAATCGTATTTGATCAAAAATTGGTGCATCCACAAAAGTGATTTTTCCGCTCATATAATCAAAACAAATCCTGGGTTTTGTAAACTCACTCAACATGCTAATCAACTGGAAGCCAATGTGAACTGTCAACTAGAAACCAAACATTAAGAAGCCACAACTATAGCTGCTCTTCTTATATATTGTCTAGAATTTTCATCTTGTCGAAATTAATCACATGCTTTCTCATAACACATTATGAATTATAAACTGAACAACAGAATTCAACTGGCTTAGTAAACAAAACATAACGAGCACAATTGTGATGTTTCATATTTTTTTATAATAGAGGAAATGGATGTAGTGTCGGCCAAAACGCCCCTAATTTGGGCCCATACATAAATTCAGCAATTGACTAAATTTTCAATAGCGACCAAAAATATCCATAAGTACCGTCCCACCCAAGTAACAATTTTGGTTTTATGAGGGTTCTGAAGACCACGATTTAGACTTGTAGCATGCTTTAAAACCTCGATAAAACTTGCAATGCTACTTGGGCAATGACGTGTTCATCTAGATAAAACTGATAAATAGCAGATTTTTAGCGAAGGGGCCCAATCTTAGTCCCATAGGCCAACATTAGAGCCATTTCCCCTACTTGGTTTCCACTTTGAGAGAAATAACGTCTTAATTCTTGAAGGTTTGGATTGGGAATGACAATAGTACCTTACAAACTAGACTGCTTCGATTGAATCACGGTTGTGCCGGGTTGCTTCGTCTTCACCCCTTCTCAATTGTTTAGTTCGAGGGCACATCGCAGCTCTTGGAAACGGGATGTATCTAACGCCTTGGTGAACAGATCCGCAAGTTGGCCCTAGGTGATCACCGTCTCGATTTGCAATCGTCCTGCTTCCACATAGTCACGGATAAAATGATGTTTTATATCGAAATGCTTGCTGCGCTTCGTTTCGCGGCTCCTGGCCATACCGATGTAGCCACGGTTGTCCTCGTAGATAATGACTCTCAACCAAATCGCTTCTGATACTACTACGCTTAGGGCAAAGTATTCAGGCTCGCTTGAAGATGTTACCACCGTCGTTTGCTTCTTGCTCGACTATGACACGGTTGCTCAGAAGACCTTGAACAAAAAGCCGCTAATGGTATCCCAGCATGCGTCTGCAAATCCCACGAGCGGTTCAGCAGCTTCGTCGCGACTGTACTGCAAGCTGAGCCCCTGCGTCCCTTACAGGTTGCGTACGATCCACTTCAACGTATGCCAGTACTGATCGACCGGATTCCCATGTAGCTTACCGGATAGCAAATGTCCGGGCGCACACACAACATGGTGTACATCATGCTTCCCAACAGCTCTCTGTAGGGTTCCTTCGTTGCTGGTCCGTCATGCTTCAGCTGGAGCCCTTTTCCATCGGAGTTTTGCATTCCGAATCGCTGCAGGATCCTCATTACTTGGGCTTCTTGCAAAAGTTGAAGCGTTCCTTCCTATCGGTTGTATATTAGCTTCATGCCCAGGAAGTAGTTCACCTCGCCGCAGTCGGTCATCTTGAACACGGCAGGGAGTTTCTTCTATAGCCGTATAATTTAAGCCACCTTCCTTCCAGAGATCAACATCGACGTAAATGATGATGATCAGCTCGTCCCCTGGTGTGCATCTCACAACCAGTAATCGTGGTATGGCCGGGTGAATCCCATCTTGAGCAACTGTTCATTCAGCCGCTTATTCCTGCAGCGGGGAGACTGCTTTAATCCATACAGGGACTGCTGTAGCTTGCACACCATGCCTTGATCAGCTTCTACGCCACCCGGTACTACTAAATAGATGTATTTTTTCAGGTCACCATGAAGGAACGCCTTCACACGAAACTCCCAATTCGATTAAAGCGGCTTGACATCCATACTCAGTTCGTCTACATCGAATCCAGTTTCTCTCGAATGGACTTCAGCCAATGGGTACGGTCGTCTCGGCATGGACCGGCAGAAACAGCTCCGTAACCAGTAAAAACATTGAGAAACTTCCTGGAGCGCTTGCACTCCCGTTCTTCGCTGCGTCTCAGCAACGGTTGACCCTCATCCTTGGATTTACTCCCATACCGGGCCTCAGCAGGGGTTACCGTCTTGGGCAGGGCTGATGTCGGACTCCGATTGACGAGATAGATGACGGTAAGAACAGCTTCGGGCCACATTATCTTGGGGACGCTTGACTCTATCAGCATAGTGCGAATCTTTTCGACCACAGTTCGGTTGAACCTTTCCGCAACCCCATTCTGCTGTGGAGTGTATGCCACCGTCGGTTCGATTTGGATGCCCTTTCTGGAATAGAAATCTTTTTATGCATTTGAGCTATACTCACGTCATTCTTGAAATCTTCAATCCGAACTTCACCGTCGGTATGGTGCTCGATGAAGCTCATGAAGTATCGGGATCTGTCCCAAGCAGGGAGGTCGATTCTTTCCAAAGGCCTGGTCGCTCGATCACGAGTTCCGCTGAAAGGGTTGTGGCATTGCTTCCCTTGCACACAAGCGTTGCAGAAGCTCAGCTTGCCCAGCACGAAATTCAGCACCAGTCACCAGTGGTTGTTCGATGCGATCGTCTCCTTTCTTTTCTCGCTCAAGTGTCCGAACCGCCGGTGCCAGAGCTCATCTGTTTCCGACATATACAAGTTCATGTTGGGCCTTCCAGGTCGATTTCCAGATCGTAGGGCCTCTGCCTCATAGCCATCTTTCTTAAACATTGCGATCTTGCCGACGAAGTTCACCTGCTCACCGACGTGACGAGCTTCTTCACGAACATCCAACTATCACATCCTTCATGTGCAACGGAAACTATTTGTTGCTGTGGCCTTGGGTTTCACCGACTGTCTTCGCAAGAATGGATTGACCATCCTATGCCACGTTGATCACGATCGTTGATGAGGTGCTCACTGGATCCCAAGTCGAGCTTGAACATGAGCTTGTCACTCGTCTCAAAACTTACCGCTGATTGACCGCCGAGTCAGGTTCACCACCGACCTTCTGACGACAATCCTTCTTGAGGTGACCACGTTTGGCACTTACCCGGGAATTTGAAGGGTTTCTTCGTTTTGTCACCGGGAAAAAGCGGCCCCTTTGGCCTCTCAAACTTCACAATTTCGCTCTTCACGTCTTCAGCCAACAACCGCTGCTTAACGACTTCGATTTTCATATCTTGCTCCGAAACGTTGTCCAGAGCGGTTACCAGAGGGTCGTAGGAATCTTGGAGCGTCTGGAACAGCAGGACCACCAGGTCAGTTTCGTCTACCTTCGCGTCAGCTGTTTTCATCTGTCGGACCAAATCGTCAAACGCCAGTAGATGTGGCCTCATCGGATCACCTTCCTTCAGCCTTAATCGATGGAGCTGCTTCCTGATCAGGTTCTGCGATCCGATAGACTTGATTGCAAATGTCGCTTCGAGGGGGCAGCCCATATTTGCTTGGCCGTCGACGGATGCCCTCCAAACATTCGTTGGCCAGGAAACTTACGATCAACGCATTCAAACTTGACTTTTCCGAAGATAACATATCAAGAAGACTGGAAACTCTTCCATTTTCTCAAACGACCGGTATGAGACAGGCATAACCACGTCATCAGCCGCTCAAAGGTAAATGCTCCGAACGAATTGGATAGCAAAGGTTCAATCCTCAGAAGAAAGGATTGTGTGTTTGCTACTTGTTTCTATGCGTTGCTTCCACCTTCGCTCGAGCTAAGCGCTACTGTGTTTGTCGCTCAGTTTCAGGCAAAGTTGCCAGTCTTTTTGATATGTTGTCTTCGCTTTTCTCCCCGCCGCTTCTGGTGCGTTCTCCGTCAGATTACTCAGAATGTAGACCGAATCCAAGTGCATCTTAACCCTGAAGCTCCAGTGCTGGAGATCCGGTCCGCCTGTGAACTACGCAATGCCGCCAGCAGTATTCGCCGTGGTGCCCAAAACCTTTTATAATAAATTCTTGGCTTCAACTTTGAGAGAAATAACGTCTTTATTCTTCGAGGTTCGGATTGGTGCCTCGTGTGGAAAAGTGGGGTTGCTCCGTCTTCAATATTCATT